GGGCAATAAGTCATACGTCTAAGGCTCTCCCTAGGTGAAAGAAAAACTTGTACATACAAGGAAAAAATTACAACAGAAAAAAATACATGTGGATGCTGCCGTCTGCTTTAAGTTCTGATTTGGTAGGAAAAACAAGAGCAATAGAAGGATGAAATGAAGGTGGAATCTTGCATTTCCTTCAGCTGGCAGGGTATAGTAGATAAAGAGTATTAAAGAGTACCCTGCTGATGACCCCTAAATTTAGGAATCGATGAAGAAGGAGAGAGGAAGGTGGAAAGTAATAGAAGTTACCATGCAGAACATTGTTAAGGGAAATCGATAATAATCAGGGGATACTCAGATTCAACCTACTTTAATTAGGAAAGGCTTTTGAATGAAAAACCAAAGAAACTCTCACACCTAACTACACCGCTGCCTGTACCCCTCTATTTGCTTTCCAACCATGTGAGATGAACAGACATCCTCTGCTCTAGGTTCATACTGTGCCATCATGGTTCTACAGTAACCAAGAACTGAAACCCTTCACACATGAGCCAAAACAAACCTTTCCTAAAACATGCTTGTATTTAAGTGTTTATCAAGGCTATTGTGGAAATTTGAACAAGACCGGCCCCCATAGGCTCATATATTTGAAGGATTAGGGAGCAGGATTAGGAGGTGTAGCCTGTTGCAGTAAGTGTGGCCTTGTTAGAGAAAGTATGTCATTGGGGCTAGGTGTTAAGGTTTTGAATGGTCAAGCCAGACCTGGTGTTATTTTTTTTTCTTCCTATGGATCCAGAACTCTGAGCTTCTTCTCAAGCGCCATGATGACAATGGTGTTGCAGAATATTTAACTATGCAAAGATGTACTGTAATTGTTTATTTAAAGTTGTGTTGTATATGTTTAATTAGGCAAAGTTGTGTTGTTGTTTTACCTTGATGGTCTAAGGAACCTGTGATCTAACAAAAAGCTGAATGGTCAATAGGGGTATAGCTAGAGGCAGGAAGAGTAAGTAGGAAGAGGAATTTAGACTTGGGGAAGAAAGAAAAAGGGACACCAGGATCAAGCCAACCAGACACAAAGGAAGCAGTAAAAGTAAGACAAATACAATAAAAGAAAGGTAAAAAGTCCCAAGGTAAAAATTAATAATAATAATAATAATAAATAAAGCCCCAAGGTAAAATGTAGGTAAATGGAATCACATTAAAATAAGTTAAAAAGGCTATTTGACAAGCCTAATTTAAGATCAAGTATTCATAATTAATAGTAAGTTTATGTGTTTTTATTTGGGAGGTAATTGGTGGCCCAAAGAAAAAGTTACAACTATAAATGGCACTCAGCTTGGGATCCAAATTTCCACATAGGGCCTGAGAAAGCTGAAAAACAAAAGCAAAAATACAAACAAATGGATATGGCTCCTTTAAGAGGAAGCTGATGTGCCAATTTGAGGAGCTGGCACACTAAGCAGAAAACAGCAAGCTAATTAAAAACGTCAGCCAGAGTGCAGACATAAACTTTGTAGAACTGGGCCAGTTAAATACAGTTCTTGGTCAAATGCAGTTCTCAGTTAACTCAGCTCTTGGTCAGGCCTGTGAGTTTAAGGCTCAGCTCTCATGGACCCAAGGAGGGAGCAGAGCCAAGTGCCAGAGCCCCATAGTGGAGGACCTAGCTGCTGCTTAGCTGTTTAAGGTTTGGCTCATGTGGTCAGAGAATGCTACAGGTACACATTAAAATAAGTCCAGGCTGACAAAACTTTAAAAAATACTGCAGTATACATGGCTCCTTAAGGAAGAAAAAAGATGGGTATAGATAGTCATAGGAAAAAAATAGGTTTTTTGTTTGTTTGTTTGTTTGTTTTTTTGAGACAGGTTTAAAAATAATTAAGTAGAGTCTTTAAAAAAAAGAGGAAAGTAATATAAAAAGAATAAGTCACATAAATATGGGAAATGCACAGGGAGTCTGAATCCTGTATGGTGCTTTGTTGACTTTGAGGTTTTGAAAGCTAATGAGTGAATGACAGCTGCTGAGAGGCATAGGCTTATAAAAAGAATTGCTGAATTAAGCCTAGATACTTTAGGAATGTCTTAACTTTAAAATGGAAGTCAGAAAATTTACTGTATTGAAGTAGAGGTTATGCTTTTATTTCCACAGGAAATGAAAGACTGTGGATTCCTCCAAAATTAATAGAGATCAGGTTTGACTGGGGGAGACCTTCTGAAAATTTTGGCTACATACAAAAAGAAAAAAAAACTAGAAAAACTGCAAGACAGGTGGCATATATGCTGATTTCTTTGATTTCTTGACTTGAGAACACCTGTGAGACTGAATAAGCCATGGTAAATCTTGCTGGTTATAGAGTCTCCTTGACTTATTATTACATGCCGTCTTTTTACGTGGCATGGATAGAGATTTGATTATACAGTCCAAATATACTTATAAAGTTGACAGATGACTTTTATCTGCCCCAAAATAAAAAAAAAATATTTTTGTCTGATTTGTATACAACGTATAGTCCGTATTCATGTTAATGCAGATATGCATGTTACTTTTGAAAGTTTGTGTGTTTTCAGAGCAAAGAGACAAGACATCACAGGTTACAGACTGCCTCTGTTGTAGTTTCCTCAGAGATATGTATTCAGAACAACTTCAAGGATGCTAGGTGAGATGATTCAGTCTTACCAGACTCTTCTAGCCAGGACTTCAGTTAAGTCTTGTACTTTCTCATTACACAGAGACTAGACAATAAATAAGTATAGCTAGTTTTCTTAGGATTTGAGTTGAAGGTGAGATAGTTGTAGTTATAGTTATTTAGTTACCAAATTCAGAAAACAAACTTATATAAGAAATATAAAGTTTATAAGGTTGAAGAACATAAAAGCTTAACTTGTTTATCTAAGAAAATGATTTTGTGTCTAAAAAGATAATTTTGGGTTGGTAATACAAGTTAGGATACAAAGTAAATTAGATGCACAACTTAGTACTCACCAAGACAGGATAGATAATAGAATATTTTCTCTGAATTTGCCAAATGCAAATGAACTGGATATTGTAAATGTAATTCTTATTTGATAATTATTCTTATTAAATATATTCTTACTACGTTAAAGCTAAAACTTTTATTTTTATTTGGACAAAAAGGTGGGAATATTATGGAATATTTGGCTCTAGAGGGGTTCCCAGATGTCCAAGGGGATTTCCCCCAACCAGTTCTGTGGAATATTTGTTTAACTATGGAAAGATCTGTTGCAATTGTTTAACTATGTAAAGATGTGCTATATTTGCTTAATTATGTAAAGATGTGTTGCAGTTCTACCTTGCCTGCCTAAGACACCTGATTGGTATAATAAAAAGATGAAAAGCCAATAGCAAAGGGATAGGTACAGGTGGGACTTCTGGGCAATGAGAGTAAGTAGGAGAAAGATTTACACTTGGGGAAGAAAGAAAAAGAGATGCCAGGGAGACAGCAGGGGCTGGTCAGATAGACATGTAGGAAGCAGACAACAAGGACATACAGAATAACATAAAGGTAAAAAGCCCCAAGGCAAAATGTAGATGAATAGAAGCAGATTAAGTTAAAATAGCTAGTGGGACAAGCCTAAGCTAAGGCTGAACATTCATAATAAGAAGTCTCCATGTTGCTGGGCGGTAGTGGCGCACGCCTTTAATCCCAGCACTCGGGAGGCAGAGGCAGGTGGATCTCTGTGAGTTCGAGGCCAGCCTGGTCTAGAAGAGCTAGTTCCAGGACAGGTACCAAAACCTACGGAGAAACCCTGTCTCGAAAATCANACCCTGTCTCAAAAATCAAAAAAAAAAAAAAAAAAAAAAAAAAAAACCAAAAAAAAAAAAAAAAAAAAAAAAAAAAAAAAAAAAAAAAAAAAAAAAAAAGAAGTCTCCATGTCTCTATTTGGGAGCTGGTTGGTGGCTCAAAGAAGAATCCAACTATACAATAGACTAAGCCTCTTAACTGTAAACCAGCCACAATTAAATGTTTTCTTATAAGAGTTGTTATGATCATGGTGTCTCTACACAGGAATAGAAACCCTAAGACTGCTATAGAAAACCAACATTCTCCTCATTTCATCCCTGATCCATCTTTGTTTTTCCTCTTGCAAAAAAATGATATGTATTTTGAGCCAGGCTTGGTGGTGAACACCTTTAATCCCAGCACTTGGGGGCAGAGGCAGGTGGATCTCTGTGAGTTCAAGGCCAGCCTGGTCTACAGAGTGAGTTTCAGGACAGAGTTCCAGGACAGCAAGGGCTACCCAAAGACCACCCTGCCTTGAAAAGCCAATATGTGTGTGTGTGTGTGTGTGTGTGTGTGTGTGTGTGTGTGTGTATCTCCAATCTTCTTCTCTGGTTACTAAAGAAACAACTGTAGAATTGTTTTCTTGTTTCAAAAAGGAAGACAGCCAAAGGCCAGAATATAGTGATTTTTTAATTCATTTTCAAAAGCAGACTCACATGTACTGATTCTTTAGGTCCCCATACTTGGACCTGACATATTATGAATTCCAAACAACTGTGCATAGTGACATTAAACGGGTTCTTGTGCTGCAAGGTCACTGGGCGCAGGTAGCAGCGAAACATTCCCAAAACAATCACTAGACATGCAAATGCCAGCCAAAAGCATGAATCACTTTCAGGGGTCTTGCTGCAGGGAGCATGAGGTTTTATTTTGTGTGCATTGAAAACCGTGTAAGTCCAAACCAGCCTCCAAACCTTCAGCCTACAACTTGTCCTGCCTACCAGAAGTGCTGTGATAAAGGCCAACAATGTCCATTCCAGCTTGAAACCCATGCCAGAAGAGGGAGCCCACCCCTGACATTGCCTGGAGGACCAGGAACAAGAGCCTGGGTAGCCTAAAGGAGCAAAGAGAAGTCTCCCAAAGGAAGTTTTTCCAGTTTCTAAACGTAAGGCCCACATCTCCCTTTCTGAGTGCTGTAGACTTACACAGTCAGAGAGTCAAAGCTAAGCCATCATGAGCATGGACGTTGTTCATTACCCTACCCACCCACCCTTATTTCCCAGTATGGAAACAACAGCCAGCACTCAATTCACAAATCCCAAGACCTGCCTGCAATCCCTGGGTTTAAGCATGGACACAGGCCAGGCAAGACTCCGGTGCCCAGGCCTGTTAGAGTGTAGCTATGTTGGTGTATCCTGTATACAGGTGAGAAGTGCCATTGTCGTTCTAATTGATCCATTTGGGGGGCTGGACGTGGAGGCTGTCTGCCTAAGGGTCCTTAGCCCATGTGCTTATACTGGGATCGGTCTCTGGGGATCTGCACTTGGTTGGCAGTCATTTTATGGTGGATGTGGTAAATCACAAGAGTTATCACAATGACAAGGCCCAAGATGAGACCCAGAATCAGGGGCAAGGTCTCTTCCAGCTGCTCTCGCTCATCCACTGGACATTTGTGCTCTGAAATGAGAAAGGAGAAAAGCAATGAACTCTAATGGAAATACTCCAAATCCTAGGCCCTCCTAGCAGAAGATAGAAGCAGAGACGAAACAATCTCTCAGCAAAGTCTTTGTCGATTGACAGGTCATTGTTCTTCTTTCAGTTAGTCGTAATATTTCTACATAATATAAACTAAGTATGTATCAATTTAGCATGACAATGTTCAGTTATTGGATTCCTAGCAGCCATCAAAACATCCGGGTAATTTATCTAATTTAAAATTTACTTGAAATTTTTATTTAAATTTCTAATGCTTGGAAATTAGATATAGCCACTACGATTTTAATTTCTACGTTTAACTTCTAATTAAAAATCTAGCATACCCGGGATTACTTAGAAACACAAAGTGCTTGAGAAGACTGAAAAATAACAAGCGCTGGCAATGACTAGAACATTTGGAGCTCAGCGCTTGCTGAAAACAAACTGGTAAGCTGGCAAAGCGTTAAACTACCTGGATAAACTGAGAAACTGCTAACGTGTTAGGCAGTCTGGTGATTCCTAGCAAAGACAAATGAATCCAGCACTGCCTTCCCTAGACCAACCCCGAAAAGTGAGAACACATGGGTGTGATGAGACAGAAATGAAGGCTTAGAACTCAGCGTTACCTTTTCTAGACCAACATAGAAAATGAAACTAGATGAACATGAAATGAAAATATCCGTAGAAACTACTGAGAATGGTTAGACATGGTTATGACCAAAATGTGCATCAAAATGGAATAAACAGCAGAAAGTCATAAAGTAGACTATTAGTCAACAAAGAGAAATGAAAGACGGCTGCAAATTACAAAATGAGCCAATTTCAGAATTCTCAGGTTGCATAAAATTTGACACAAAAAATACAGATTGTACTATCCTTGTTTCTGTGAAGTTCTTGAACAGGTAAAATGAAGTCTGTGGTCCTAGAAACCCGACTGTCACAGGGCTTATGCGAAGGTATCTTGTCAAGGCTTTCTTGGGGAGGGTGATATAGTGAAAAGAGAAAGGTGTCATCTCAAATATAGCCTTAGCCCCCATGGGCAGTGTCCCCTGGTCTAGCGGTTATGGAAATGATAAAAGCTCAGAGGATCAGTGGCACAGAGTTCCAGGACAGAGCATTTGTCTAACGTGTCTCTGGGCTCAATCGTCAGCCCACAGATTTGAAAATAAATAAACAAGCAAAAACCAAAAACCAAAGTGTAAATGCTTGAGGATTCAGGGTTCTCTGGACCTCTGATACTCTGTGTACACGGAGACATTAGTGTCTTTTGTTTAACTGTTTTCCCCTGAAAATTAAAAAGGACCCAGATGACTTGTGGTCTGTTTTAAATATCTACAAATTTGAGTCTCTATTAAAGGAGACCAGAGACAAATTTCATGTTCCACTATGTTTTCCTGGCATTACATGTCCAATTTCCTTTTCATCCAAATCATTAAAATACTCAGGATTATTCCTTCTATCCCAGTGAAGAATCTCCTATCCCATCAGTCAGAAATATCCCACACCCTCAAGGGGTTATACTATGAATTAATTGCAGAAGGACAAGTTAATTAACCCCAACTGAAAAACATGGGGTGCTTGGAACAGCAAGCGACAGTGCCATACAAAGTGTGTTTGGTATACAAATGAGCCAAAGGTACCCTCTCCATCCGCTGTTTTCTTCTTCGCTGCAGGCTGAGACCCTTTAGCTCAGAAGCCTGCTGGCACCAAACTCAAACTTTTACAAACCCAATTATTTTTTAAAACAACCCATGTAGGCAAATGTTTAGCCATTTAGAGCCCGAGTGCTTTGTATAGTCATTGAAACCTCCCCCCACAGCTGCTACCCATTGATAAGGGAGGGCCATGTACGTATACAGCTCCAAGCTACAGCAGCCTCTACAGGATGTCACACAGAGGCACGCAAACTCTCCTCACTCCTGCTTTTTGTTGCTTACTGTAATGTTTTTCACTAAGACACATAAGTTACTATTCCTTCAGTCCCGCAGAAATACCATTCAATGAGAGCATGATCAATCCCTTTTTAGAAGACAATTATGCATTGAATCACATGTTGTTGGTTAATAACTGAGTAATTTGAGTAGGAAAACCATAGTACATTGAAATGAGCGGACCGTAATAAATTGTAATTAAATATGTAAACAGCAATAAAATATGTTATTAAACTACAATGTGCTTCAATATAATCAGAAAATATTCTGGGAACTGCTTAAACATCACAACTTCACTAGCATTAAAGTAAGTTCAGAAACTATTTAACTTCACATTGCAAACTTTTTAAATTACAAAAAAATATATCCATCAAAATTTGCCTTGTACATCGTTTCTAATGTATTACCAATATTACCAATAACATTTTGTAGTCCATGTTATCAGTGCGTCTCACAGTGTGACACTACCACCCAGAATGGATGAAAATTGATCTCACTGATTTAAATAGCAGTAAAAGTTGGCTTTGGTTTAGGCATTCATGAACTTCAATGCACTCAAATCTTTCCGGTTTAACTGAAGCTTTTGCCTGTATCCCATCACATGGCCAGTCACTGCCGCGCATGGTCCTGTCCCTACACTGCTGTCACTAAACACATGACCATATATGTTTTCTTCCTCCAGTAACTCTCACCCTCCCTTTTTCTCCTCTGTCCTCTCCTCCCCTCCCCTCTCCTCTCTTCCCCACTTTCTACAGGATTCTATATATCAGCAACATCATCAGGAGCTGGGCATGTGGGGGCCTACCCCAGGGCCCACGGAAGCAGATTCTGCATACAAATATCACAACTATGTTCACTCCGGTGTGCATTAAAATTAGACTATGTTGGTAATTAAGATTGTTTTTGTAGCTAAGTCCAGTGCACTTAAAGGGACATGAGTGATGAAGATGTCAACCCTCATCTGATTACTCTCAGCCCCAGTGACTGTCCACTTACCCATTTTACTGATCCTTCTTTACTTATCTCATATAGTAGGCTAAACAGGAAGTTATGAAGACCATCAGATAAAAACCTTCTGACACAGGAATGGACTTCTCACAACAAACCCCTGGCCATTTTCACAGACACACAGACACACACACACACACACCTGAAAGTGCATACAACCATCGTGGTGGTTGTGTAGATATATGCCCAAATATCCTCTGGCAGATACATTTCACTTACACATATATAGCCATGTACAACATGCTGGAAGCCCCTAGAAGTCCAGTGCTTGAACCTGAAAGGGCAATCCAAAAGGAATCTTTCCAATTCCTTTAAATGGAATACAACAATCTCTTCTGAGGTGGTCAGATGCAAAGAAGCAGAGGCAGGGGGAGCCAAGAACAAAAGAATGTCGTCTGCACAAAGGTGCATGATCCAGTGAGCGATTCTGATGCCTGCCTCCTCCCAGGAGTACTAAAGCCTGGGGCACTACACAGGCAAAAAACATCCCAATTACTAGCCTGAAATGCCTGGGTAATACTGCAAATTGCCTATGCCTATTCTGTCTGTATTTAGGAAATTATGTGTCCTTAAAGTCTCTAATAGTCTTTCCCATCTGCAACCTTGAAATGGATAATAATTGTTTTCAAACAAAATATGTAACTAATTCTATGTGATGAATTTTGCTGATTTAGAGTGAAGAGTTCTATTCTTTATTCAGCAGTTTTTTGTTCTTTGTATACATCAGGTGTGACTTCTCATCCATAGATGACTATCAGCAATCTAAAAATAACTCAGGATGGATGCAACTGGGATAGTGGTGAGAGACGAGTCAAATCAACAATTATAGCACAGAAGTGCCAAGAAACAAAGAAGAGCTAATAACAGCTGACCAGCAGATAGCAAAAGCCATTAAAAGTTCCCGCTTGAACTCAAATGTGTTTGTGGTGACAACCCTACAAGGCCTAGCAGTCTCATAAAGAGTTCATGAGTCATCAACAACCATAATATGTCATATTACATGTACTATTTCATCTTAAGAAAGACATTCAGTGCTACATTTTATAAATATTGGGATTCTGACCTCTCGATTTTTGTTTCCACTTCTAAAATGTACACATATGCAAGTCTATGTCAACTGAATATCAGCACATCTATTTAGACAATTACCTGGACATCTAATTATCTAGTACTGTGTTAGATGTTAGTAAAGTCAAGATGAATAATAGCCAATACCAAAATTAATTAACTGGTCTGGGACCCAGAATACAACACAATGGAAAGGCATTAAGATGAGGGCCTGAATTTTATCCAAGAGCACCACAGAAAGATAGAGGGCTAAAGAAAATGAGGGAGCAGGTGGGTGAGGTAGGGGGAAAAAAAGAAAGAGAGAAGGGGGAAGTGCGCAAATAATCAGGTCTTTCTCTAAGGAGAATTTACCTTCAGAATTCTCAGATGCTCTGGGAACAATTATTCAGGAGTGGTGGAGGCATTCTGTCGAATATCAGTTGAGAGAAAGCCTCGATTGCGTGAATGAGAAATAACTTGGGAAATGGTAGTGGGTGACTCAGATGGAGATCTTCCAATATTATGAACATTTAAATAATTCACTATATTCACTTGGTAACCCCCAACCCAGTGGAAATTACAAACAAAGTAATTAGAATCTGCCTATGGGTAATAAGAAGAGTATCAAATTGCCTTGAAATAATTCCTCCCTTAGGAGTGAAAGGATAAAAAAGTGAGAGGGAGAGAATAGGCAGGGGCGTGTGTTGTAGAAAGTTGCTCCATTTACTTTATAACCTCTAAATCTTGTGGAAATTGCCTTTGCAGCCTAGAAGGAATGCAAGCAAATACATCCTGAGAGCCCCATTTAAGTCCCTCTTCTCACCCATCTTAAAAGCCAGCTCCCTCTCCCTTTCCTAGCACCAACCTAACTTACCTTCACTGAAGACGAAATCAGAGATGATGTCAAAGGGTTGGATGTGTACTGCGGACAGAATCATAGTGACTGTTTTCTGAGGATCACTGGAGGCCAGAGAAATGGACTGCTGAGCCTGACATTCATAGGACATCCCAGCTGGGGTTACCAAGGCAGCGAGGTGATGGGAGTTGGCTGTGTGCTTTCCAGCTGCGGGAGAACCAAAGCGTCAACTGGGCTGGATGTGCCCTTTGCTGCTCCTAGTCCAGGGAGATCTCTGCTAAGCCCAGAACCTATGCTTTCTATTGGTGCTGCAGTCCCAGGCTGGAGCTCCTGCAAAGACACCAAGTGGGGAGGAAGGACCAAAGTCCCCCATTCCTTTTGAGAATTTCCTCATTAGGTAGTAATTTGGGATTTCATTTCGAAGGAGCATGCTGCCTGAAAACACAACCCTTTTGACTAAAGCCTCGATCGGCAATTCCAAAGATGGAACAGTGCACAGCTCTCCACAGCTCGAATCCCATTTTTCTCTGGCTCTGGCTCACACTTGCTGTTCTTTCTCTTTCCTTCTCGTTTCCTTATCCTACGGAAAATACTTGATTGCTTTGGCAAAAGGAAAGAAAAATAATTGTTTTGCCACAATTATCAAAATATAAAGAGGAAGAGATGTTGCCAGCATTATTTTGCATCCTCAGAAGAAAATCCTCTTTCCAACATAGAGCCTGACAAGCAAGACAGTGAATTTTGCTTTTGTTTTAAAATACATTTAAATGTATTTCTGGTCTTTAACAGTGCTTGCAGATAGGCACATTGTTATTTAAGGTGTAGGCGCTCTTCTCCTTCAGATGTTTTTGGAAGACTGGGGTGATACTGGGTGGAGAAAACTAATGAATCAAGATATAAGACACAAAACCTGCCCTGATGTGGCTGTGGTTAAAGCCCCAGAGAGCTATGCCGTTGTACACAGAAAGACACTGAAGCCCACTCAACCCTGTCACAGTGTCTTCTTGCATTTTTTAATACATTAGAGCAAAACAGTCTGTGATGTAGAAATAAAATCACAAAACTCATTGATGTCCCTTCCATGACAATGCCACCTTTCAGCTGAGTCTGAAGGATTTATGGCCCAGGCTTTCCTGGGGACACCTAGACGCTCCTACCTCTTTGACCCTGGAGAGCAAGCATGCCCCAGCTAGGTTTGATCTCAGAGCACAAATCCCAGAGCTGTTCCCAAGATTCGGAGACCATTCTGGCTTGCTCTTGCTCCCATGCACAAACTCTCCCATCCACATTGGACTACTTACCACTCACTGGGTCTTTAAAGTGAGTTTTCTCTAAGGTGTCATAGACAAACTGCACCTTGCTCAGCCTCCAAGTCGCCTCTGATCCTTTGGAAGTGTTGTGACTTTCCTGCCAAGATAGGAAGGTTCCTGTGGACAGCTCCAACTGCTTTATAATGGACAACCTCAGAGGCCACTACCGCGCTCACCCACGCAGACTTCACCATCCCTCTGAGTTCCCCCCTCCCACGCACCGAAATACCTTTACAAATAGCATTTTGAGTGTGTAGGCGCGATCTACCCAGAACACCTGCAGCTCCGATTCGTTGTGGCCACAGCGGCCATTCACCTCAGCTCCCCGGGTCAAGGCGATCTCAGCCTGCTCTGTGATCAGCTGGGAACACACACGCCCCGCGCCCCCTCAGCGCGTGGGGCCCTGGCGCGGATCGGGAAGGGTTGCGCTTCCAAACTCTAGCTTGCAGGTTTGGGCGCTCCTGTGTACGCGCGCTCCGGGGGTCCAGGAACATGCAGGTAGATTCTTACGTGCACACCCCTCCAGGAGGGGAGCAGAAAGGGGGTTTACTTTTAAAGCAGGCAGGGCGAGCAGAAGGCGTTGCAAGCTGGAACCCCCATGCAGCATTCGGGAACAGCCTGCAGGGGTTTGGGGGGAAGAGGCGGGCAACTGAGGTCTTGGCAGGGCCCGAAGGGAGGGTGCCCTTCGGCCCTGCAGCCCTAGGGGCAAGCCGGGGAGGAAAAAGGCTCCTTACGTCCACGTAATTGTTGGCCCACACATCATAAGGTACAATAAATTTGGCTGCAAACTCTGCCATGAGACACGTTGTCCCATTTTCCCGCACCACAAATATGTCTTTCCCAGGGCTCGTGGAAAGGCCCGAAAGATTTTCCACTTCTTGTTCTGCCACGGTTTGGGCCATTGCATCTGCGGAGCAAGCAAAGCAATCTCATTGATTTCAGGCTCAGGTAGCCCGCGGCTTTAGGACACTGGAAACTGTTCTCTGCAGGCTTTGGAGTGGCAAAGTTCCCAGCTCGTAGCTGTGTGCTCCCGCAAGCCATTTCTCCAACTAGCGCTACCAAATCCAGATTCACTGCCTCTGATTTATAATGAAAGCAGAATCTAAAACAAAATTAAATCCTTACTTACAGTGCGACTGGGCTTTAAAAAACACACTTGGGGGATAAAAGCTAAACCTTCCTTGCCAGTGCCATGCCCTCCCCCTTCCTATCCTGAGTATGGACTGTCTAGCGTGCTCGGTCTGGGTGATGCCACACAGGTGTGTGGCTCGCTGGGAGTTCTCTGAAACCGATGGGGGCCATCCCCACCGTCAGCCCCCAAATAATCATAACACATAAGGACCAATTTTAAACCTAAAGCTACTGGCTTTAGTCTGTGAATAGTATTCTCTGCAGAGTACATCCCGCACTCCTGGTCCCCAGACGCTACTCACGGAAGAGCATCAGGAGAATCCGAAGTCTGTCTCCGCTGAGAAGGGCTTTTCCTAGGAGATGCATGCTCGCAGTTGCCGCCAACCAGGCAGACGTGTTGCTGCTGCAAAGGCAGCCCCAGGAGGAAATCCCTCAAAGTGGCCGGTAGAGTGAGCTAAGGGAGGGGGGAAGGAGTACGGACTGGGAGGAAGGAGCGCTAGAGGTCCAGTCGCGTGCTGCACCAGGCGCTGTGGCTCTCGCGCGGCACACTGCAGAGGAAGCGCCCAAGAAGCAGGAGCCTGTCCACGCCTAGGGTGCTGAAAATGACGAGGTTGTGTTCCAGGACTTGTAATTTGGCTGTCTAGAGGGCCAATGGGATTGGGATGGTGTGTGGGAGGAAATGTCTCCCTAGGTCTGTTTTCTATTCTGCAGTGGTATCCGCAAAGATGAGTCTGTCCTAGGAAACTTAATGCCACCCTCGGACTTACTAAGCCCTCCCACCAGGTACAGTCAGTACTTAGTGAAGATGGAACACCACTGGAACCCTGGATCCTGGAGAGATGTCTGCTCCTGAAAGAAAGCGACAGAGCTCAGACTGTTCCTGCTTTGGAGAAAGGGGGTAGGCAGAAACAGAGAAGGAAAATGCTATGGCAACAGTTTCTGGCTTTCAGAGACATCGTCTCTATCTGCTCAGGAGCTTCTAAGTTTAAAACGACACCTCCTCAAAAAGGGGAACCAAATAATGCAGCATATCCTTGTGGACCGAGAGAGCCTTGAGTCCTACCCTTTGAGCGCTTGTGGCCTGAGCTAGTTTTGCTCATTAAGTTGTGGTCACTCTGTTAAGAGCGTTGCGCGTGAACCTAAGGCTTGTGAGCATACAGGGTTATCTGGGGTCTGGTAGGACAGAAATTTTAGAATTGTTCCGTAGGTGAAGACCCAGTGTTATGTAACAGAAACATGCGGGTATTACTCTAAAGCTTCTAGGGGAGCTGAAAGGCAAACACCGCTGGATAATTCCTTTATTTGCATTTGGTAGTTCGCTGAATTTTTTTAATTATTGCTCTATAAGTCAGAATGCACCTCTTTGGGGAGTAGACATGGTGCCCTCATTAATTGTAATGATGTTCCAAATATTCCTTTTGTTAGAGGATACTGAGTGCGGTCAATAAATAATAATTGCCTTAAACACATGTCATAGCCAATGTCATGTTAAAGGGCAAACTACAAAGGGTTTTTACCTATGTTGTCAGTTTGAATCTCACTTCGATTTTAGAAGCGGGGCAAGGGAAAATATAGGCTATTGTTTTACCTTCCCCAATGTAAGACAGTGAGAAATTAAATGACCTTCGGAAATGTCATATGGTTAGTTAGAATTAAAATAGAAAAATCACATGCTTTAACTTTATAGGGATCATATTCGCTTCTCTTTATATAACATTTTGACTCCAAAACACAGCACATTATGACTGCCATTACAAAGCTTTATTAAATGACAGTCTGAAACCTAAAAATATTAATAATCTAGATTCTTGATACATATAAAGTGCTGATTTAAGTATAGACATTCTAACACAGAATTTGCTTGAAACTGCCAATATACTTAATTGCATTTATTTTTTAAAACAGAAACATATTAAGAGATAGATCACTAGCAACTCAAATTATAAAGTAACGCTTGAATTAATACTGAAGCTCAATATCTTTTGGTATATATCTGCATCTTAGTATTTCATCAAAAAATTCACAAGTCTTGTATAAATGATTACATACACAAAAATGGAGGCAAATGTGGCTAATAAGATTTCAACTCTTGTAAACATAAAACATAGACCTTTTTCGCAATAATTATGTAAAAATTATTTTCCTGTGGTTCTGTAAAATTTATAAAGCAAAGAAGCATTCATCCTCTGTGTGTATATGTGTCTGTCTGTCTGTCTGTGTCTATGTTGATCTCTCTCTCTCTCTCTCCCTCTCACCCTCCCTCCTCCTACTACTTTAATAAGGAAAGAAAAGATAGGCTTGCCATTAGGATGTATTACTTACATTTGTGACCTTCTACAGGATTGAGTTTTTCTTATTTAAAAAATTGTAACATCTAAGGCAGTGGTGCTCATCCTTCCTAATGCTGTGACCCTTTAATACAGTTCCTTATGTTGTGGTGACCCCCAAGCATAAAATTATTTTTGTTACAATTTCATAATTGTAATTTTGCTACTGTTCTGAATCATAATGCAAATATCTGTGTTTTTGGATGGTCTCAGGTGACCCCTAAGGAAGGGTCCTTCGACCTTTGAAGGGTCGTGACCTACAGGTTGAAAACCACTGATTTAAGGGATGTCTGGTTAGGTTACTTGAGCAACCAAATTTAAAAATTATTCAAAATAAAATACAGATCAAAACTATCCATATACTTTAACTGAGTACCAACCATTTGCATTGTGAGTGCAATAAACAAACAGCAATATAAAAGCAGGAGAGTTGCCTTAAAGACTATAGTGATTTCTTTTAGGTGCATTATTTCAAATACCATGACCTTATGAGTTGTCGAATAATAAACTAAATTCATTCATGATGGTCTGCTTTCATAATAAGATGGTAGATGGGGAAAATTCTTGCCAATGGTTTTAACCATTCTGCATGATTTGTACAATATGGTTCTTTGGTAATTTTTTTTTACATTCCTTTTCATTCCTGATAGAAATTATTCTTCATTGACACCAAAGAGCACTTAAATAAGTTGAGAGGGAAAAAATGGAAGGAACAGTTTTAATTTTTTTCCTTCTGGGAGTATCATTTTCAAAAAACAATAATGCAATGTGTGTGTGCATGTGTGTGTGTTTGATCTTAGACATGGCTTACACATATGAATATCTATTAAATCAGTTAGCTTATCACTGATGACTCTCATTTGCAATACAATCTGGATTATTAATTCTTTAACTTGCATCTATATTTAATTTAACAACTGTCTAATTGTCTTGAAGAAGATATATTTGGGTCTTTACCATAACCATAAAAGTGATAAAAGAAAATTTAGCAATAACTCATACTTGGAGATATTGACAAATGGGGCTGGATAGACAGCTTAGTGGTCTGTTCTAACTTCCGTGGCATATTCATGGCTCATAGACATTCATGCAGATGAAACATCTATACCCATAAGTAAAGATATCAACAAAGATCTCCAGAATAAATCTGATCCATTGCTCATACCTGGAGTGTGAAAAGATAGGAGAAATGGTGTTAATGTGTGCATTTGTATAGATGATGGATGTGTCTATCTTCAAAATCACAGCTACTGCTAGATGGCATCAAATGTCAGGTGTAAGTATGACTCAAACACACTAGCTTTCTGATCTCCAGTAGGTCCTCTGGGTCCTTCAATGGATTCATTCCAATCTATGTACTCACTCATACTAGTTTTTGTGACTCTCCTGCCATCTGATGATCCCTGCATCATACCTGTAATGAAAGTGTATTTCCAGTTTGGGTGGGAGAAAGTAAGACCACATGTGAAAATATGAATGGCAGTAATGTGTGCGCAGTAACATTTTTGAAGCAAAAGGAGGAAGGGCTGTAAATGACAAGAAAAGGAGGCCCTTGGGAAAGGAGGGTCTTGACAGAAGTATCAAATTAACTAAGATGGGAGACAAGGCAAAATATATCTTCATGCAAGTAGACAATGCAAAAATGGAACTCTTCATAGTTCCATGTTTATGAATTTGCAATAAAAAGAAATTAGGACCCAAATCCATCATGTTTTGTGTACCACAACTCTCTGTATGGTTTCTCTGACAATTTATGTACACACACAGATGCAAAACAATGGCATCCACAAAACTTCTTCCAAATGAATCAAAACTTTTCAAGTTGGTGCATCTCTAAAATTGACTGGCATAGAATCATGACAAAATTCTGAAAATTGATAAACATTACTTATTAGAAAGTGATGTTTATGTGCTTCATGAAGAAAAGGCTGTTCTTTGTTTCAGCTGAAATTTGGGTATTGAGATTTCTATCCACCTTATAGTGAAGTATAAAAATGACACTGCTGTACAGCACCCATGACATGCCAGCCAAAGTGCACGCAGAAATGCAACACAGATCATAGAAGCAGGATAGCTCAACAAAACTAAACTAGACGCACATACTTATTAAGCCAGAAACGGTCTCACACAGCCTTTCCTTTGTTTAGCTCACCCCGGAACAATTATCTCATTACATCAATCGTTACAGACCTCAAATCCGTTCTAGAATAGAAAACAACTGGAGATAAGAACAGAAATATAAGTTGTCATTGGGATATTTTGTTCATCTGTTGTCAAACACCATTGCATTTAGAAAGGATCTGAAACTGAGACTGGGTTTCCTGATGCACTCAACTGTCCTGGTCTTGATGTGATTGCCTTCACTCTCCAATTTCTTTGGTCCTTCCCACATTTATTTCAACAGGAGCTGTGTCGTACAAGCTGTTTGTACAAGGTTGTTCTGAAAGAAACAACCAGAAGAATGGCCCTTTCATTGGCTGGGTTTTTTTAGCAAGACCTGAAGAAATGGCATGTATGAATTCAGTTAAAACAAATGGTTTCACCACGGAGGTTGGAAATGACATAGGCAATGCCAAGCCTAGCAGTGCACTGAAGCAAAGGAACAGTTGGCATCTTTGTGCGAGTCATTCTCTAAGTGTTCTGGCTAGGTTTTAGTCGATTAGGTGGGGCTTTGGGTACCACCAGTGCCAGTCTTAGCCCGTGGAGCAAAGTCTACACTGCTTCAATGTGTAAGGTCTTAGGCCAAGGAGCACAGTCTCACTACTCCTTAACAGGAGGTGAAACTTTGCTAAATTGGGGCAAAGTTAAAGCAAGACTTATAGGAGTTTGTGATTTTTGTTGCCTCATCCTTTATCTCTCCAAGAAATAACTACTCTGTAGACCTAGGTAAGATTAGGCAATCAGAGATTCATGTAAAATAATTTGTTACCTGACTTCTGAGATCATTTAGGTGTTTAAAAATCTCCCTCAGGAGGTGTCAGTCCCTAGTGAATTTAGTCACTTTAGTTACTCTTAATTGTCTATCTGAAATTATTTTCATACTACCTTGAAGCTAGGCTAGGGTCAATAAGGGCATTCCAGAGGGAGGGAGAGAGGATGAGAGTGGAGACACAGCCTTTTGTTCTCTGGTAGAAGCCATTCAAGCCCAGCAACTGGGGGAAGGGTATATCTTTACAATAATATATTTTACTTTACAACAATATATGACAATCATTTATAATAGCATATATTAGTAATAATATTATATATTATATATAAGCCTGTAGTCTTGATGCCTTCGCCCTAAGCTGATGAAGTTCTGAGCCTAGGAAATACCTTGGCTCCTAGCACCCTGTTGTTGGCTTCCCTACAATCCTTTATACCCCAAACTAATAGAGCTGGGAGAATAAAGAAGGAACCTGCTTAGATCTCTGCTCTCTGGTTTCTGGGTCTCTCCATTCCCTGTTCTTCCTGGGTTAGGTGGACTGGAGCTAGAGAAATCCTTAAAGTGTGAAGGAGAGAGATCAAGTTACAAAGATTTCACTTCTCCTTTCCTCCCCCACCTGAAACCACCAGCTCTCTGTGTCCTTACCTTTAAGAAACTGCCCAGCCATTCGGGTCCAGGTAAGAACTCCAAAGGGGTGCCTGAGATTCTAGCGGCGCTTGGATTTTTGTAGAATTCCAGGCTCCAAGTAAGGGTTTCTATACAGAGAATGGTTTCTGCTCAAAGACACATAAGCAAAGAGGGCCAAAAAGCGCGCTGGGAACCACGGTGGGGGAGGGACCCGGAGTCAGGTGGCCCGACGTTAGGTTTTGTTCTCCTTCACTTTTTTTCTCAGTATCTGGGGACACGGTTGGAGTGTGGGCATTCCAGCTAGAAAAAAAATCCAGTCTTCCTCTTTAAGGAGCGTGTCCAGGGACAAATCAGGGCCCTGCCTTTAATCAAAAAGTCTTCAGCTCAGAGGCAGCTCCTGAGCTCAGAGACTGCAGAGCCCAGAGGGCTCCCAGCAGCCAGTCTCTGCACAGTTCTATCCATGTGCTGCCCAGTGCTACTGCAGGACCTGGGAGCTGCGTTGCTGCAGACCCGCCAAAAAGCAACCTGTCCATCCAGACTCGCCCCTTCTCCACTGGATGGGACACATTACAACTCTGGGCTCTCACAATTTATACAAACCAAGCAGTCATTCTTCATAAACCTTTGAAATTTTATATGTAAAATTCGCTTACATGGTTATGAAAACATCGCGTTTTGGATTGGGCTTTCCCTATGTGTTTACTTTTAGTTTGATTTTTTTTTTTAATTTAAAAGCAAAGTTAATAATTTCTCAGGCTTGCCCCAGACTGTAAGACTCCCGAGGCCCCTCAGAGACCCTAGTCGCTCAGAGTTTTCTTCAGCTCTCCAGTTCAAGATGGGCATCTGTCAGTGCAATTTCCAGGCCCAAATCTGTTTTCTTCCAGGGATTTCCCGCGCCTGCCACCCTTCTGATGAA